GAATCGTGAGTTGGTTGACAATATGACCGATGAGCAGTGCAATGTTTATGACTCTAAAATGGAGTCAGTTTCTCGCGACCACGGCCGCATATTCTTTGTTTATGGCTATGGCGGCACTGGTAAGACATATGTCTGGAGGGCGTTGTCCTTTGCTTTGAGGTCCAATGGTGAATTTTCTTTTGAACGTTGCATCGAGCGGTATCGCGTCGCTTTTGCTGCCCGGCGGACGCACTGCGCATTTTTTGGTTCAAAATCCCATTAAACCCAACGGAAGGGTTTACATGTGACATTAGCCAGCAAAGTCCTTTAGCGGAATTGATTATACGATTACGCTTGATCATTTGGGATGAATAAGTATTGCTTTCAGGCGGTTGACAATACCTTGCGAGCCATAATGCAAGTAGTGGATCCATCAAGGAAAAATCTCCCTTTTGGCGGCAAATCCGTAGTATTTGGTGGGGATTTTAGGCAGATACTTCATGTTGTTCCTAAAGGCAGTCGAAGTGACATAGTGAATGCCACGATCAATTCATCCAAGTTGTGGCAGAATTGTATCGTTCTGAGACTGACTCGAAATATGAGGCTTCGAAGCCTTGGTGCGGGTAATGAGTACGATGAGCTGAAGCATTTCTCGGAGTGGCTTGCAAGCATTGGCGACGGAACACTCGGTGGATCGAACGACGGATGTGCCGATATTGAGATTCCCGATGATATTGTTTTGAAATCACAAGGGGATCCTATTGCTACTATTGTTGAGAGTACCTACCCAATGTTCAAGAGTTCAGGCGACGATCTTAGCTATTTGAAGGACAGAGCTATACTCGCTCCCACACTTGACGTGGTTGAGTCTGTTAACGAGTATATGAGCTCATTGAACTCATCCGAGGCGAAAACTTATTTGAGTTCGGACACCGAATGCAAGTCAGATGTTGGATATGACTCTCTTCAAGATCTTCATACGCCTGAATTTCTGAATGGGATTAAGTGCTCGGGACTTCCCAATCATAAATTGCACTTGAAGGTTGGCACTCCAGTGATGCTATTGAGGAACATTGATCATTCAATGGGGTTGTGCAACGGTACGCGTTTGGTTATTACTAAGCTAAGCAACCATGTTCTCGAGTGCAAAATTTTAACAGGTGCTAGAGCTGGTGATAATGTTCTTATTTCAAGGCTCACGATCATTCCTTCGAATTTGAGGGTACCGTTCAAGTTTCAGCACCGATAGTTTCCTATCATGGTCTTATCCGTTTTTGATCCTTCTGACCCTGTTCTTGATCCAATGTGGAGACAAGGTATGTTCGTTATACCCTTCATGACTCGTTTAGGAATAACGAATTCGTGGAAAGGTTGGAGTATTACAGGAGGGACTGGCTATGACGATCAACAAGAGTCAAGGCCAGTCTCTCTCACACGTCGCTTTAATCTTGAAGAACCTTGTTTTTAGTCATGGACAATTGTATGTGGCTCTTTCGAGAGTCACAAATCGGAAGAGTTTGAAGATAATGATATGTGGTGATGGTGATTTCGACGATAGGAAAACTTTGAATGTTGTATACAAAGAAGTATTTAATAATATTTAGAATTATTTTCTTAATTCATTTTTTTTTAATTAATCATGATTTTGTATTTTTTTTCAAATTGTTAACTCTTCTAAGTATTCCCTCTATGTAAATTAAGTATTCTCATCCGTGCAAATCCACGGATTGATTACTAGTTTCTTACTCAAATGATTAAATAGACATTAATGTCTAATTAATCCGAAGCACTTGACGAGCTTAGAATAAAATGCAACTACCTGCATAAATAAATATATAAACGATATGTCTTTATAGCGCTACACTCCTCATCATGCTTTCTATTCCATTCTTTGGGATAAAACTGAAAGAAAGTAGTGCCTGTTTTTTTAATGCTAAACAAGTTGTGAAGGCCAAAATAAAGATATACAAAAATAAAGGGCAAAAAAAAAAAAATGTAAAACAAGGTACCGAAATCAAACAGGCGATCTAATTCCGACAACAATTTCTGAGACATGAGCAGCTAACAGCTTTGCCTGTTTGTTCGAAAATCGAGTATCCAGATCGGCCAACAATCGCATAATATATTTCATCAACCAGAAAATTTAGTAGTTTTGCCTCAAAACGAGTGCAAAAGCTTTTTGTTACAGTTTCACTACAAAATATACCACACAAAAAGATCTAACTTAACCTACTGAAAATAAATGTTTAAGCGAATGATATAACACCACCTCCAAAGAGAGTATTTTTTTCACCAAAATTAGGCAAAGCCAAACAAATGATTTAGTTATAAGGAGAATTTCTAAGTAGGGAAGCGCCACCATTTTACCTAAATTTGCAAATGGCATCGTTGAACCCTCAGCCTTTTGCTTACATTTGTATCGATTTTTAGAAAGTTGTACAAGCCAATTATATTTTAAAACATACTCACGTTTGTTATCTTATCTTCACATTTTGAATCTATTTTCTAAAATCCAGAAATGCATTAAACAAAATAATAAATTCAATTTTGAAACAAATATTTATGTGTATAAAGAGATACAATAGAGATCCTTCACCATCGGAAACAACCAAACTATGTACCATAACCCAGTCAAAATGAAGTCAACAATATAAACATCAGAAAAATAACCTCCACTTAGCATCATAAGCCATTTTCAATCCAAGCACGAAACTTTATCATCGTCCTGATATACTCAAGACAATAACTTATGAGAGTTAATATTTCATGCAATATAGATGCACAAAAAGGAATCATTGAGTTTATTGTGAGAAACATAAAAAGCACCAAAGTACACATGGCACCGTTACAAATTGAAATATTTATAGAGAACATGACTTGTCCCACAAGAAACAGAGAAGAAGAAGAAGAAGAAGAGGAAGAAGAACAAAAAAAAATCACTCTCGATTTTGATCTTCCTCTTGTCACGATTCATTCTTCTATGTTGCACCACAACCAACAAAAACTCAATGTAACTGAAACTTAGAATTACCTCCTACTTACACACTAATATTTTCAAGATTAATTTCATGAATTGACTGATATTGTCAGGACCAATATCCAAGCCCATTCAGCCATCGGGAACCGCGGATGATGGAACAACCTACAAAAGAAAAGGGAAATAAAAGAGAATTTTCAACACTCCTCTTCAGTGCAAAAACATAACTATTCTACCCGACAACAGATATGGTTCCATAGCAGCTCCTACATTCAACTATCGAAAAATTTGAAAAGGATTTCAGAGTAACACGACAGCTAAATAAAAGTTGCACACCTTTCTATTAGCAACAGCTCCCCGTCCCAGGCGCCATCCAGGCAATGTCGGTCTCATAAGCTGGAGATGGCGATCAAAATTGGGTCGCTAGAGTTTTTCTGGACGTTGTCGTTTTCGGGATCCGACCCTGAGCTCGCAGACGGCGATACGGCGACCATAGATCTCCTGGGGACCGGATTGGATCGTGTGGTAGCTGCGGCAAGTTGGTATCACTGCCGATAATTTGAGTGCGGGGTGAAATTGGGGTCATAGAGAAGAGATGAAAAAGAAATAAAAATTGGGAAGAAAATCAATCCCGTACCTCGCGTGAAGAAGATAAAAAGCTGCTAATATTGAAAAAGCTTCCGCGCATAGAACAACTGTCAAAAAGAATTGACGATAATAGCCTTCAGTCGCGACCCGAATTACATATTCCTACACGAGCACAGGTTGAGTTATTTTGCCTTGTGCCTTCGGTCGGACATGGAGAGGCTGAATTCCAAGCAATCCATCCTTGCCGCCAAGTGGTGCCCTGCCACGACTCCTCGTACAACCTCGTCACTCTACTTTATGAGCTCATTGTTGAGAAAGTCATGTCGATATCCCGAATACGAATTAGTCGAGGAGGCCCACTACGCGTATGGTGTTCATGATTGTTTACATAATGCCCTCCAACATTCGGAAATCTACATAGCGCGAAATAGTGGGGTACTACTCTCCTTTACATGTATCCTCTGTCGCCATGAAAATGTACAAGCAAGTGTTTCACGAGCACGATGAGCAGAGATTTGGGAAGTACCTCGAATATCGACAAGGGTGAGGTCAAGATTGCTACCGAAGATTTGCTTTCGCAAGAGATAGTCGAGTACTTGAATACGGTGACAAAGGCCAAATGGCAGAGCTTCAGTGGAGGACCTGGCCAAGAAGAGGAACATGATCAACTGTCTAGCGATTTGCGATGTTTCGGGAAGTATGAGTAGTGTCCCGATAGAGGTTTCGGTGGCTCTCGTGGGTTTGATTTCGAAGCTTAGCGAGGAATGGAAGGGGAAGCTCACATTTAGCGCAAACCCAAATATTTAAGATATCGCCGGTCGAGTTTGGCGGAGAAGACTGAGTGTGTGAGGAGAGTGGAGTGGGGTATGAACACTAACTTCCAAAAGGTGTTTGGTTTGCTTCTTGAAGTTGCCGGTTCCATGTTGCTAAACACCAACCATTTGTTTTGGCTTTGAGCTTTCTGGCCGCGGCAAATTCAACAAACAAATCAAACACCTTTTGGAAATCAGTGTTTATACTCCACTTTATTCTCCTCAAACTCAGTCTTCTCCGCCAAACTCGACCCACGACATCTTGAATCTTGGTGTTCGCGTTGATGAGCTTCCCCTTTCACGACACCTCAAGCTCTGAAACCAAACTCTCGAGAGCCACCAAAACCTACATCAAGACACCTCTCATACTCTAGTAACATCACAAATAGCTAGGCAATTGCTCAGTTCCCCTTCCCAAATCATCCACCATTCACCTCCATTCACCTCCACTGAAGCTCTGCCACCTGGCCGTTGTACCGGCGACTATCTCGTGCTAAATCAATGCTAAGGCAAAAATCTTTGTCTCACCCTTGTCGACCTCCTCGAGGTACTCCTCGAATCTCCGTGCTCGAGAAACACATGCTTGTACATTTTCATGGCAACAGAAGATACCCCGATGCAAAGAAGAGTACCCTACTATTTCCCTACTCATGTAGATTTTCGGCAACTCGAAGGACAAGAACTTGCTTACGTAAATGGTTACAAACACGACACGTGTAGTGGGCCTCCTCAACTAATTCGAATTCGGGATATTCAGAACCCGGGAAGACCTTGTCAATGGGCTCACAAAACAGAGTGACCGGGTTGTACTGAGAAGTCGGAGGGGCACCGCTGGCGGCAAGACTGATTATGTTTGATTGGCCAGAATTCAGCTTCTCCTCCAAGTCCGATCAAAGTCACAGCGGACATGGAAAAGTATTTCGACACGCGCTCATGGAGGAATTTGTAATTCGGGTCGCGGTTGAATTTCTTAATGCCTTCTCACGCTCGAGCCACTTATCCTCGTTGCGTAATTTCGGCTGGTTCAAGCTCTCGTTTGAGTCACTCGACGATCTTGTCCTCATCCGGTCGTTGGTCTTTTTCTCATGCCGCCGTTGAGTGGGGACATCCTTTTGGGATTCTTGGCCTTCCATCGTTCGACAAGCTTGCGGTCCCGGGCATGAGCCGCTCAATTTCCAACTCCGGTAAGCAGCCTTTTCCTTTCCTGTGTACGGGCGTCGGGACGAGGCGGAAAAAATTAACAATAATAGTAAATAAATAAATTTCATATTATTATTGAATAGAATATTGTGCAGAAAATAATTTTATATTGTCTTAAATAACTATACAATATTTAAATAAATAATATTTTTTGTATTACACCCTTTGCATCGCATGGGTATCAACACTAGTTATATTTTAAGCACAAGGTTACGTGTTTTTTAATTTTTGGTTTAATTTATCATATAACTAATGCCTACATAATACTTTTTTTTTTTTTTTTTTTTTTAATGCAGACTATGTCACAAATATATGTATGTGAATAACATTTAAACTATGAAGAACACATGTGGGAAAAGCATAGACAACAGAGTTGTTCATAACATCTTCAGAAAAATGTGCAAGGCATGAAAACCACAAGTCCACAGAGGTAACACATTCTTTCATTTTTCAGGATATATACTTATATGAGTGAGGCTCCCCTACCCACGGTGAGCACATGTTAGTATGTCCACCGTTTATGTGGCATGCACACATTGGTCATATATTTTTTTGAACATATTAACATCACCAATGTATGCATGTCACGTAAACGGGGGGCATATTAACATGTGCCCACCGTGGGTAAGGGAGCATTACTCATACTTATATTACTAATAAAATTAAGATTTTTTATTTACCTGTACCACTATACATCCAATTTTGTTGTAATTTTGTGATCTCGTAGAATATCATCGGTTTTCATCATCCTCGAACATTGAATTCAGAAAATAAATGTTAGAAATATGTTTGAAAATAGATTGTTTATCGAATTTTGTTTGAAAAAATAATTTTTCTACATCAATTGAATATTTAACTTTTAGTATATTATTAAAATATATGGTTAAGTTATGTAGACCATCAATGGCCAGCTGCATCTTCATGTTATGCTTTTCATTTACTAATTTTTCTTTATTTCATGAGCTCCTTTTACGAACAATTGTTAATTAGAGGTATAAAAGATTATATTTAAAAATAAAAAAATAACAAATCATATATAATAGTAGTATAGACAAAAAACTGAATAAATAAAGTTTAAAGTAGTATAGACAACTCAACTGTTGGTCCTGATGGTGCTGTCACTTTGAATTTTGCCTATACTAGATACAAACAGATGCTCCTGCAAATATTAGTCATTTATAATTAATGTATGAATCTTTGCTTTACTGACAAAAAATATAAACAAAAGAAAAAAACAAAGAGACTTTTTTATAAGGGTTCTTGAATTAACAAAGTAAATCATTTTCTTGAATTAGATCGGATAGTTATCTCCATTTTTAGGAACCTGGTTGGCTTTTCCAATCTTCAGTTGTTCTCCAATCCTCAGCAATATTAATCCAAGAAAAAAAAAAAGAAAAACTATTATTATACAATAAAAGTTCAATATATACAAATATTATGAAAATTTATTATCCGTTCAATATATACAAACATTATTTTTAGTCCTTAGTTTAGTGTCTGCATCCGTTCAATATATACAAACATTACAATAAATTCCTTCATATATTGATGTTTTTAACCCAAAGAGCTACAAGAGTCCCTTAGTTTAGTGTCTGCATCCGAGACTTTATATGAAGCTATAAATTCCTTTCCCAAAAATATACAGTGGTTGTCCAGCCACCACTGAACAATTTTCTAAACACATGGACCATGGTAATGGAACACTGAAAAAACAGAAAAATCAAATCCCAAAGTGGAGAAAACGTATATAATTGTTTCACCTATATGTAATGGAATCCTATTCGCCATCACATACTTAATTCGTTTTCTATTTTCACCAGATGAGTTAGACCTCTGGTCCACTCTTGATGCTACAACCATATTCATGAAAATTATATTCATTTAATATTTCTTCCCAAACAAGAAAAAGTTCAGCCTTTCTACTGTTAATCTCGGTCATTGTAGGCAATACCTTTGATGATCTTTACGAAATAGCAGTAGTTAAATCTGTACAACAAACTTTGTGTATCATGTATCATTCTTATGAAAAAAAATCCACAACATACTTCACACTTAAATATACAATATTAAGAAAAGTCTCATGGTCACTGTCCGAATACAAGATACTGTAAATTCAAGGTGCAAACAATCAACTTGGGTTAATATATTAGTTAATTTCACCACTTACACGGACCAATTGGAAATCTACAATTTTGGACTTATATAAAAATCTAGTACTAATTAAGTACGTAACCCAAGTCTCGGGAAGCTTTACAATCTACCAGAAGCAACAGATAAGCACCAAAAAGAATCTACCAGATTCAAAAGCCCCAAACAATGACATATTTTCTCCCACAATCACAACTCAAATATGCTATTGCACACTACGAAACAAGTTTCATGCACCATCACTACATCCAAACAATCAAGCATCAACCTAACAAGAAAGCAATATATTGACTGAGCACATGGAACAAGTTTATGACAGATAAGAATATGGGATAAAACAAGTATACATAGGTATGTTATAGAAAATCAATAAGAAGAGGAAAATAAAGAACCTTTGTAGTAGAATAAACAACTAAAGTTTGAAGCACTTCACAGAACTCAAGAACACAAGAAAAAGACACAAACAATCAACTCAATGGAGAAACCAAGCAGAGTCTACCTGAGCAATCAACTATTCACAACTTTATTTCTTCGAATAAAGCTCCAAAATCATGTTTGATGTTTGTTGTGTATTAGCTAAATATATTTTAAACATGCTCTAGACAAGGCCTACATGAAACCAGTTCAAACAAATATGTATTTCACACATAAACTTGTGTAGCTACATAAGGTGAGATTTGAGTTTTTTACCTTAAGCAAGATCGAAACGAGGTGTGATAATTTAGACGACCCCAAATTTGAGTTCACATGGAACGAGTTCTGAAGGGTTCGTGCGAAGAGCTTCCAGTCCACAGCTTCGGAAACAAATTGCCAAACTGTTTTCAGTACTCATAAATCTAAAAATTTATACTTTTATATTATAATCATTTGATCAATGTGTCTATCTGCCTGAGATGAGAGCCATACTTTCTGAGCAGCAGCAGTGGCTATAGATACTCCACAAAAATCACCCCTAACCTCGCCACTTTCTGCATTCACTAGATGATATCTTTAAAACGAAAAATCTCATTGCAGAACATAAATTAACGGAGCAGAAAATATGAAATACCTAATACTTTGGCAAAGCCAAGAGCCAGCCCAATGAAAGTGTATGCAAAGGGCATGATAGCTGCAAATATGGAGAGCCACTGCAAATTGTGTAGGTCAGGTATCTGAGAGAATACAACCTGAACTTCCTCAAACAACAACATGAAAAAACTGCCATAAACATATTTAATTGAACTGTCAAGCCTAAAATTCAAAACGTATAAAATTAAAAAATGTAACGACTAATGCATTTAACATATATTTGGTATGCTAAGGACTTTTAAATATATCGTGATGTGGAACTACAAATAGAACAATCTTCGGAAAATATTTTCTAATAATAAAACAGTGCAACCAAATAACTAAATCACGCAAGAAAAACTAAGGAAAAATGAATTATAGGGCGAACACATTGAATATTGGTGTTACACCATTACAATAAAAAATAAAATATCATAATTGCAATATTCCAGTACTGCTTAAGCAATGAAATGACAACAATATTAACCAAAAATGTTGTTATACAATCTCCTATCTACTCAAGCAAATATGACAAATACAATATTACATGTCGTGTTTAGCTAACCTGGTAGCATAAACCAACTCCATGTCCAAAAACCACTAAGAATCTGTTGTTGCAAACACTTATATGACTGTTATGACTGGTCATGATTAGCAACAGTTAATATCCACTTTCGAAATATATATGATGAAACTGTTAAAAAAGTTAAAAATGAAGGGAAAAGAAAGAAAATAATCAATTTGCCTAAAAAAAACAGTGCCAGTCACACAATTGCTTATCTAGAACTCATAGAAATGCACAGAAAATCTAAAAGCAGGCCCGGATAAATCAGATCAGAGCCAAGCCAGTACACGATAGCAGAAGCACAAGGTCTGTAAATGTTAGAACAGTCTATAGGCGTGCCTTCGGCACAAGCTCATCACCATCATGATTATTGTTATTATTATTGATATTATTGCCATTATCAACAAGGATTCATTTTGTTTGCATATCACATTAGCGCATATTCCCAGTTTCTGCATGATAACGTCATCTGTGATCACTTTGCACCACCATAGAGAAAAGAGGTCCCCACTGGCCCTACTTATGAATATCAATCCCTACCATTTCAAAAAGAACTGCTCCAATGAAATATGCACTATTGCTTTTCATGCCTCCACAAAAACCACAACTTACTACTTATCCACTGCATATCTATCAATTAATCTCATCCAATCACCATAAACATTCTCAAACCATCGCAGGCCGACAAAGGTAGTTCAATTTGTGTTTACAAATGAAGACTCGTTGACTTTGAAAGGCGACAAATTTTTATGCTGTAGATATTAGATAATAACCATCAGCTAAAAAGAAATATTAATAAAAAGATGAGTATGAGCAATGTAAGCCATGACATTTGCAATTGGTGTTCAATGTCTAAGATTCAAGTTTGTCAACATCAACAGTGGATCCATAACAAGGGAAAAGACGATTCATGTCATTTCAGTACAATACTTTCCTCAAGTATTTGAACAAAGAAGGATCTATGCGAAAGATCAAAGACGTGATTGAAACAGTATTGTGTCAAGGCATGCTTCCAAAATAAAATGCACCAGAAAGACACGAAAACATAGCCCTCAGGCTGAAAGCACCTCAGAAGCCTGTGGGAATTTAAAATTTGTTTTACATCATTATAGAAATCCAATACACTGCTGAGGCGGTCAAAACTGACTTTGATTTGCATCAGTAGCCGAATTC